GAACAACGTATTTCAACACCGGTCATAAGTTCAAAAGTTGACTCCCGTCAACAAGGACGGCCAAGCTTCAACGGGTTGACGGGTTGAGTACCCGCGCCCGCGCGACCGCAGCCTAGACGGACAGAACCACACACAGCTCAGACAATCAACACTCGAGCGAGGCCAGAAAATTTCCATCTTCCTTAGATGAAAATGTGAGCGCTCTTGGTAAAATCAAAGAATGAACAGCTTCCATTGCCTCAGTATTAGGACCATAGATTCAACTGTGAGCCAACGTTTCTTAACAGACTCACTTTGACCCATTCACAACACAACTCTAGCTTTTTTTCCCGCTGGGCATCTAAGATGACACCAGAATTTTGCTGCAAATAGTTGCGGTAGAACGAAGGCATAGGTTGCAACAGACCTCACTTAGGATAGGCATCGTGTCCAACGTTTGCTCCCTAGCAGAGCAGATACGCGACAGGTGCCGAGAAGCCTATAAATACGCCCTCTCCCCCGGAGGTTTGTTTTACAATCTCATCACTTGGCTACGCAAAGTCGATCAAGCCATGCGTTTGAGGTACCTGATAAGTTCTTCCCTTCAACCCTACTGGAATTTCCACTGTACTGACGTCTATGGATACATCGTGGGCCGACAAGCTAGAAAGTGCTTGTGAGAAAATGATCCCGACCAGGTCCAGTATGTCACCCATGCCAGCCGATCAGAGAAGCAGATTGGGGGTAGCTGTCCACCATTGGAGGTGTTGGTTGATACGCCACCAATGCCCAACGTGAAGGCATATTGTGTGCTGTTTGTGAAGCTGGGAGGTGGCAATAATTAAATAGAAATGATTCAGAGATTGAGAAACTGAAAAAACTGTACGTGTTGAATGATTCTGGGGGTTCGCTATAAATGAAGACATCTTCAAAGCCATTGTTCTTTGAAGCAGTTAAGATTCCGTTGGAGCTTGCGGACAGCTCAACATGAGTTTGGGAACCTAAATTATCACAACAGTCTGTAGTCGGCGTCTTTGAAAAAGTCGATTATAATCGCAAAGCCACTAGCATGACGCAAGCATAGCTGTAGGTTCCTTGAAGCTGAGTCCTGAACTAACTCTGTTTCACTCGAAGTTGGTAATTGGCAGATATCAACGGTATTCTCGGGCTGCAGAATACTCATTGCTTGGGTGATCAAGAAGCGGCCAGTGGTGCCAAATTCAAAAACTAAAACCATGGCATCCATTTCGACCAGGACCTCTTGTTCAATGCTTTTGATATAATGTGTAAATGGGAGATCTTCCATCTCAAGAAAGATATTTACCCCGTTGTCAGCCAAGGCCCCGTGATCGCCTGGCGAGACACTGTTACTGGCACATCTAGCATTGCATCCTGACCTCAGATTTGAGGGTGCCACAGAAGATGATTTGGACAATTTCATGGAAATTGAGGTTATACTCGCCGTCGAATCACTGGTCAAAGGCAAGAAAGCCTTGCTCTCCGCTACGTACTGCCTTGAAATTGAACGACGCGACTGAAAACGTTGTGTTACAGCCGCGATGTCTTCCATCATGGATTTCAATACGACTGGGAGTCGTTGGGCTTCTGCGAATGAAGAATAGTCCAAGCAGGGAAGAGTCCATTTTTCATAAAGCCGTCGGTGGGCGTGTGATATGCGGTATGAGCCGTGCTTCTGTATGAACATGTCACAAAGGTAGCAGGCTGCCTTGCTGCATCCGATAAACCGAGGACTGGGTTCATGCGGTTGACAGATGTAGTGAATAACTTGTTGTATCTCTGCATGAACAAAACATTGCGAGAAAGAGCCCTTTGGCCTCCTTCCGTCGAAAGCTTTCAAAGTTTCAATGGTGATGTTGTTGAATAATTTTCGGTAGTTTGGGCGTCTGGCAATTCTGATAAAATCTCGACACAAAAAGTAGTAACGCGCAAGCTTATCGATTTGACGTACTTCGTTTCTTTCCCGAATCTGAGGGGGAGCTTGTAAACGTCTGAGTTGTTCCTCAAGAAGCCCCGACCCGTCGACGCTCGCTAGTTCCGCACAGCACCGTATGACATTTTTCTCGTGCTCTTCCTTCACATTATTGGGGAGAGGCCTTATGAAAGGCAAAAGACAGGATATGAGTCGGTGCGCTGGTGCCAACAAGCTCCGAAAAGCTTGTGTACGCTCACTGAGTTCAGAAATTTCAGTCACAAATGCCTGGACTTGTGAAAGTAGGAATGACCTCCGCTTTCTATAATGACTAGGCTGAGGCAGCCATGGGGGACGAATTCTCCCAAGGATTCGATCGACGCGAAAATGAACGACTCTATCGAAAATTTTCTCGAGGAATTCGTCCCGTTTCCTGGCTATCGGAATCAGTCTCAGGGAATAACCTCATTACGCATGAAATTACCAGTAGAAGCATATTCGCTAACCAAAGCGATAACTTCGTTCATTTCACGGATATTTGCATTTGATGGCGTATGATTGCTGGCAAGGCAAATGACAATCCCATGCTCATTTTCCCGAAGAGTCACAGCTGTCACATTCTCAACACCTTCTTGCGAATGAGCCAAGAAAGCCAAATTATCGGCAAGTTGCATCTCATCCTCAGCTCTCAAGGTATATTTCGTTGCCTGCAAAGGTGGACTGATTCGGTAAGACTCTTCGTCGGAAGGTTGATCAGTCAGCCTGCGAAGATTTTGGACTGCTTGATAAAAGTCTTGAGAGGGAAGCAAATTCGGCGAAGGAAGTCTTTGCATTGTAGAAGACCAAACAGATCTTTTGAATGACTTGTTGGCGTGGAGCGGGCTGGAGTTCATTGATGATTTTCAGAATTGTTGGATGTCACGCAAAAGCTAAGCATTCGTGAGCAGCTTTGATTAGGCACACCCCCTGTGTAAACATACCGTGTCGAGAAAATGATGAAGTATTTCAAGATCGACCTGTGGTTGATGAAATATAGTATCTTGGCATGGTCTGCCAATGCAGCTTGGATGTGGTGGATGGACAGCCAATCGGACATGCAGTGAGCCAACGCATGCATGCAGAGACAATCTGAGCTGGATGATCTTTCATTTCTCGCCATTTCTTTGCATTACCGTGCATTGGGCGATAGTGAATGAGCTCCTTTGTTTGCCTTGTTTCTCAAATTGGTCAAAATAAGGGCGCGGCCTTCCGGCATAAAACATTGCTGTTAATAGTCACTAGATCTGAGAGAAAGAAATACCGTCGTCTACTTTACCTCTAGCAGGCAATGCCCTTGGGGCCAGTTCAGAAATATTTTCTCGAAGTGGATCGAGCACGGACCCGGAGAGCTTGATGCAGGCTGAGTGAAAACACGCGAGGGGGAGAACAGACCGGGACGGACCAGGTAGATTGCTGCCCAACCCTCTATTGAGAATTCAACGATAACATGTTATCTTGCATTTGATATATCCTGAACTGGGCTTGACTACATACGCCAAAAGCCGTAATTCAGTCAGTTCCAGATCACCACGACCAATCAAGTCCGGGAATATCTCCCTTCGGCAGCCGAAGGTATAGCGAGCAGGTAAACTATTTGAGAATAATTCTGTCGTTATAGCGAGCCCAGAACTTGATATCCCGCCCTATCAGTAGCTACCGTTAGTATGGCGTTCAAGGAAGTGTTAATCATTGGGACGATACATCCCCAATACAGGGCAATGTAAGTCTTCACCGCCGGACCATTCACTACAACCGAACCAATAACGAACTTCCTAATGACCTTTACATTGCTGTCCTGAAAATCTTTCCTTTGTTGCCTCCCCAAGTTTGTACTGTACAGCAAAGCACAATGGACCCAGAACCAAAAGTTATGCATGAATCCCTCTTTCGCCCAGCAAAAAAGAGGCAAGGTCATGCGCCGACATCCCGATCATGAAACCCCAGAAACATCCCTCACCAACTCTCACCTACACTCACCAACACTCACCAACACTCACCAACACTCACCAACACTCACCAACACTCACCAACACTCACC